TTCAACTAATGAGTCTCCCATCATTACAGGGATCTCATCCAAAATATCCTTATCATTATCACTATCACTTTCAGATTTCAATTCTGAATTACTTTCCTCATCTTCAGACTCAATAGAATCTGAAGTATCACTTTCTGTATCATTTTCAATTTCATTTTTGTTATTATCATCACTTTCATTTTCATTCCCTTCGGAAAAATTTATTTCCTCTTCGGAATATTCAATGTAGTCTTCAAAAGTTTCATCTTCATCGTCTTCCTCAATTTCGGAAGATTTATTTTCATGCAGGTTATCACTTTCAATTTCTTCGTTAGACGTTTCACTTTCCTCTTCACTAGTAGTTTCAGGAATTTCTGCTAAATTTCCTTGTATGCAGGAGGCAAGTAAAATCAAGTGTTGATTTCTCCATTTTAAAGTTAACTCCTGACTTTGCCAATTATAATTTCCATTGGCTTTTAATAGCCAATTATTTCCTAAAATAAGGGTATAGGTGGTTGCTTCAGTTACCTCTACATCAACAGGAATAGTATATCCTGCGACAGTAACTGGAAAATCTCTAATAACTCCTAGGGGTCAAGTACCTTCTCCAACAGCAGGTAAGATCACGTTGTTTGAAGGTTCATCTATGGAGTATCCTAATTATTCCATTGTGTCTCGCGTAATTATGCTTACAGCAGCACCGCTATCAACAATGGCAGATACTGTATAACTATCAATATCAATGGTACATTTGAGTGAGGTAACTCGTGGTCAATATTCTTGGTCAGCTATTTTTACATCTACTTTTCTAGATACTTTTAAATTCTTCATAAGAGTTCGTTTCATTCCAGGAAGTTGGAGTAATTGAGACCAGGTAATTCCAGCTTCCTGTTTTTGCATTTGTTTAGCAATGTCAAATTCTTTTGTGCGCAGTAATCGAGGTACTTCCTTCTTTTCAGGTTTAGTAGATTTCTTTCTCTCCGGGAATAATTTCTTTTTGTTATTCTTCTTAATAGATTTGATTTTATTTTCAGTTTTGAATTCCTCCTTTTGGAATGGAATTTCAAAAGTATTTACCTCAGGAATTTTAAAGTAATCTCCTGTTCGAGGTTTCTTTGTTTCCTCATCAGTACTATCCTCATTTCGTTCACGTTTTCCCAAGTAAGCTTCTAAGAGTTGATTTAATAACTCTTCCTCTCCACTGTCAAGCTTATTATCAGTTACCTCAGCATATCGGACAGTAGCATTTCGTCTGTTATTATTATTATTATTATTATTATTATTGTTACATCTATTGTTATAATTATTATTGTAATTGTAATTATTATTCTAGTTATTATTATTTTGAGAACAATTACGTGAAATATGTCCTTCTTGTTCACAATTGTAGCAAACAGGTGATCGATAATTTTGGGAGGGGTTATTATTATAATTTTAGTTATTATTATTAAAAAAACAATTATTATTATATGATTGGTTTTGGGGTTGAAAGTTTCAGTTGTTATTATTACTTCTCTGGTTTACTTGTTTTGTTAACAAGTCAATTTTTTATATCAAATTGATTTGAAGCTTTTCAAACTTTTGGACTAAGTCATCCAAGTCTCCTTTTTCCGTTAGCTTTTTTTTATTAGTCTCTTTTCGTCGAGGTTTTTCTTCCTCAGACTTTGACTCAAGTTTTTTTTGAGACCTTCGAGGTTCCTTTCGTTTCACTACATCTAATTATTCAGACAATTCCTTTGTCAGGAAACCACAACGATTAAAAACTCAAAAACAATCAACACTCAAATTTAATACCTCTAAACAAAAGCGTAAACAAAAAGAGAAAATCGAACTATTTGATAACAATGATATTGATTACAATATTTATAACTTTGATAACGATAACAATTCTTCCACTTATTATCACAACGATTATAACTACAATCAAGACGACAATAACAACATGACGACCAATCAACATATATTAACTTATCTGTAATGAAACTTAGGAGGTACTACAGTTTGAGTAGAACCTTTCTATGGTGATGGATTACAAGACCCCTTAAAGTGAATGGAGGACTTTGAAAAAGCCGCTCGAATAAATGACTAGGATAATAATCGAAAAGTCACTATGCTAAAAGCCTATTTACGAGATGACGCAGAGGAATGGTGTGAAATGACAACTGCTACCACTTGGGCTGAATGGCTTCAAGCCTTTAAAGAATTCTTTTGTACCTTCTGATGGATTAACAAGTGGCATCGAGAATTAGAGGAACTACGACAAAACAGTGACGAAACTATTGATACTTACTATGCTGCTCATAGACGACTTATCAGAAAAATTAATAAAATAGCTGAAATGCCAGTTGCTGACCAAATGCGCTATTTTGTAAAAGGCTTACGACCTGAGCTCGCATCAATAATCATGATAAACGATCCTGCTGATGTCGCAACTGCAGTGGACCTTATTCGAAAGTATGAAGCAGGTGAAAATGTAGTGAAACGAAAGGAACCTCGAAGGTCTCAAAAAGAACTTGAGTCAGAGTCCGAGGAAGAAAAATCTCGATGAAAAGAGACTAAAAAAAAGAAGCTAACGGAAAAAGGAGACTTGGATGATTTAGTTCAAAAGTTTGAAAAGCTTCAAATCAATTTGGCACAAAAAATTGATTTGTTAACAAAACAAGTAAACCAGAGAAGCAATAATAACAACCGAAACTTTCAACCCTGAAACCAATCATATAATAATGATCATTCTTTTAATAATAATAATCAAAATTATAATAATAATCCTTCCCAAAATTACTGACCACCTGTTTGCTACAGTTGTGGACAAGAAGGACATATTTCACGCAATTGTTCTTAAAATAATAATAACCAGAATAATAATTACAATAACAATAATAATCATAACAATAGACGTAACAATAATAATAATAAT